TTGGCGAGGTTGTTTATATAGCAATCATCTATCATATCCTAGATTCTTGAATTTATTTATTGAATGGTTATGATTTTTAGTTTTGATCACATGACTGGTGAAAACCAAGAATAGCAGTGAATTGCAGCTCTCTAATTTCGCAGTAACAAAGGCATGAACAACAATGACAATATCAATGTCCATTGATATTAAGACATCCAATGTACACCAAAATGGTTCCATTCCGCACAGCAAGGTCATTGATATTAAGATGTCCATTGTAAGACGATAAACTAAAACAAGCGAGCAATTGTATTATTTTTTATTAATGATTTAGAACAATAATTAGATTATGATTTATGGGATTCTACCTAAATAACTACAGAACTGAAATGATCTAAAAACATGCATAAATTACAGTGCACGATTTTCTTTGAAACAAATTACTAGCATCTTTTAAATTAAATTGCACATAATGATCCAGGTACATTACAGTGACATAAATGTCATTAGAGTGAGAAGTTTATCTGAATTTTTGGAAAATGTTATTTATAAAACAACCTTAAAATCATATTAATACAAAAATAACAGAAACCCAAAAATCAAATATGAGCTCAACTTGATTTCAAGTGCCAGGCAGAAATAAAATATTGAAGTATTTGTTAAAGGTATGGCCCATAAAAGTAATATGGTGATGGGTTAGTGTAACATTTGGAAAGATTTCACACTATAAATAAATGAGCACTTCATTGTAATTTCAAGTTTACAGAGCATATTTCAAGATGGTATGCAAGTGTCACCAAAGTTAGCTTTGTATAACTTCATAAAGGAACCTGCCTCCAGAAGACATGATATGATACACAATTGATTCCTAAGTGGCTGTGCTCTCTTGTATCAAACCTTGATCAATATAGTTTTCTCATACAGCCATATGTAAATCAAAGAGCACAAATTCAACAAAAGATTGTTGTTGACATTCAGTTCTCCCTTGTCATACACTGAAGTCATTTACTTTCTCCAGGGAGGATGACTCTTTTAGTTTTTCAGAGAAGTCAGTCTGGGCAGGTCATGTTAGCTTTATGTGATTCTTATACGATAACAAATAAAAACAGTGAAGACACGAAATAGAGAGTTTTATGTAATTTTTATCTTTGTGCAGACAGGAGCAGGGAGCTTCCAAAGAAAAAATGATTCCTTTGACAGGGTCCATGCTGTTGTATACTAGACATTACTGTAACTCCAGTGTAGAGAGCAGAGTTCCATCAATGTCTCTCCCCTTGTTAACCAATGCTTGATCTTGCTAGTTGAAATTTTTCTTCTGTTATGGTGACCTTCCTAGTGGAAAGTTTCTTTTGATGCTGGTGTATAAATCTTCTGACTTGAGGAGTTATTTTTCTGGAGGTGGTTGCTTTTCCCTGTCAGTGCCAAGAACATCTGCTTCAATATCTGAAAGATCTATATTTTTCTCCTTGATGGCCTTCTGTGTAGGCAAATTAAAAAATAAAAGTCAATATTAGCTTATTTCAATGGCAAATAGTTACTTTTTGGTCTCCAACCACTTCTAAATTCCTGTTTGTATATATATTTTGTACATTGATGTAATCTGTACCAAAATGATGCAATGTACACCAAAATGGTTCCGTTCCACACAACAAGGTCATTGATAAGCATGAATCCAAGCAACCTTTCATCGCAAACTCTCAGCCCTTGTACATACATGTAACCTACCCACCTTCCCTCACTCACTCCAACTCCCCCCACCCACCCCTCCTAACGTGTAGAAAGGCAAGAAATTTTTGCGTCACGAGCTAAATCGGGTCACCGGATCTCTTTATGGATAAGAATTAGAATTGTATGCAGCTTCTTCAGTGGGTCTCTTTAAAAGAGAAGACATTAGAGAAAAAATATCCAACTAAACGACTTACCAAAACACATGTTCTGTAGTTCTTTAGCAGTTCGCTGCAAGGATCGCTTTTGTAGTCTCCCTTAAGGAAGCTTTCCGAATACCAAACATTGAAGCAAGAATCGTATTCTTTCTTCAAGTCATTACACTCAGATCCAATACTGTTCATTCCTCTAAAAGATACTATTAAACGCAGATTTTCGTACGTTAAACGGCGTGACTGTGCGAAAAGTAAGTAAAAGAGTCTGCGATCAAAATGCGGACTGACACAAAAATATATGTTTGCGCATTAATTTTACGCGTAGCCGCTGTTCAAAAGGATAGTTTTGCAACAAATATGGCGGGCAGCTCGACGAGGGAGGTTATAACACTTCAATTTGGCCATTATTCCAACTTTGTAGGTACTCATTGGTGGAATATTCAAGAGTCTAGCTTCTGCTATGATCCCAATGCTTCATTTCAACAAGAAATCAACCACGATGTCTTGTTCAGGGAGGGTTTAACTTTGCTTGGTGAGCAAACCTATACCCCAAGGTTGCTGATGTTCGATTTGAAAGGAAGCCTGAAAAATCTGCCAAGATACGGTACTTTGTATCAGAATCCTTCTTGCAGCAACGAAGCTGCGTGGTCAGGAAAGATATCTGTACATGAGACAGGACCAGAACCTAAAAATGAGTTTCAAATGGACTTGGAAGCGGAAGAACCTCAGACTACTGAAACTGTAGTTACCGACAACAGAACGTTTGATCGTGACAGTGAAACACTTGATCCTGATTCCAATTCAGGTGTGACTGAAGATAATAAGAATCTACGAGAGAAATATTACAACCTAGATGAAGACATTTCTGTTTGGTCGGATTTCTTGGGAACTTGCTTGCACCCCAAATCAATTCAGTTGGCGGGGAATTTCCTGCATGAGGGAAGTGCAAATCCTTTTAATGTGTTTGGATATGGACAGAGCATAGTAAAGGACGAACACTTTTATGATGAGCTTGAAAATAATCTTCATTTCTTTGTGGAAGAGTGTGACAGACTTCAGGGATTTCAGGTATATTCTCTATGTTCTAGAAAACCAGCACATTCTTATACCTGCCAACTTTTTCAGCATCATAGGCATTAGAATTCTGTCCTGGGAGTGCCAGGATGTTTAAATTTTCAGCTTGCAGGCCTGAGACTTGCAGCTAAGGTGTGAGAGTTTGTACATATACGTTGCAGGTCAAAATGAAATTCAGGTTAAACTGAAATTCCTTTGTCTCGTAACCCTAATTATTGATGAAGCTTGAATCATTAGGGTTAGGAGACAAAGAAAAGAGAATCAAACTAGATTAAAATCATTTTAACCTGAATTTCATTTTGACTGGTATCAGATACATTTCTCACACATTCCTGGGAGCCATGTCAAGCCAACCCCCCAACCTGACCTTTATTAACACAACCATTACATCACAACAGAGCTAAAATGGGTCTTATGAATGATTACATCACATGCTAAAAATTCACCTCCAAGCCTTGTGCAAAATTCTCTGAAATTTCTGCCACCTTCATTTTCTTTTCATGTTGGTATGCTTTTCATATTGCTGCTCTGGGAATTTGTTCATGATAGGATTTACAATTTGCTTTTTCAAACCAAGGCAGTGGTGGTGATTTTTGCTTGCCTGATGTCATCTTGCATAAGGGCTTTTGGCTAAAAGAAAACAAGGATGAGAAAATTATTAATTTTTTTATTGAGTATTGTTTATTTTGAGGCCATGAAGTTCTACTTATTTTAATACTAAGAAACTTGAAAAAAACACTTTAAGTGGGTGGGCATATCAGGCAATTGTGATCGTCAACAAGCAAACTGAGCCCAGAATTGAGCCATGTGAACTAAACCCACTCCCCCCCTCCCTGCACACACACACACCAGAATCCAGACTCCCAGGAGTGCGTGGGAGAAACATTTTTTGCATCATTCATTTCTCAGCCACCAGAGGATCACAGAGGTCAAAAAATTTAGTTTTCTTCTTTTCTTACTAAATGGGTTTCAATAATTGTTTTGGACTTCCAATGTGGATATCATGAAAACCCTTATTAGTAATCAGGAAAAATATGACACAAAATTTAAATGTTAGTAGGGTAATTCCAGCAGGATGATTCTTTACTGTTGATATATGCATGTTTTGTTTCTTCAGATTTTTGCTGATGTGTACAATGGTTTTGGTGGTTTGAGCAGCCAAATAATTGAAGAGCTACGAGATGACTATGGATCTAAATCATTTCTTACATTTGGAGTTACACCAACTCAATTTCCAGATGGAACACACAAAGACACCGCTCACAGAATCCTGAATTCAGCTTTGAGTTATGGCCATTTGTCGCAAAACAGTGACATGTTCATTCCACTGTCACTTGCTAGTGAGGCATGGCCACGTATGAGACAAGCCAGGGAGTTTCCTCTTCTCACTTATAAGGTAATGAAATGTTTTCAACCATATCTACATCATGTAAGCTGCTAACTGTCACACTGACAGAGACGACACTCTTAAAAAAATCTGAATCTTTTACTCACTTTTATTATTATAAAGACAAATTTTTATTGCATTGCACAACCTTTAGCACAGGCAATTTTGCAAGTATCTTGGTAGCCTGTTCCAGGATCTCAGTCAATGGGTGCAATTGAACAAGCAAGCAGGCAACAAGCAGGGTTTGGGAGAGAAAAGGAGGGGCCCTCACTGAGGTTGCTTGGTGAGGCTCCTCACCTTTTCTCTCAAAGGAGAGGGCCCTCTTCTTTTCTCTCTCAGGCAATGCTCACCACTTGCCTGCCTTTTTGATCGTCCCCACTGCCAAGAGTCTGGTATGCTGTGATTCAATCAGAGTCTGTGGGCAATTGGTTTTGTATTCACCTTCTACTTGGTCTGGAAGTGAGACATTGAATTTACGCCGCATATTAATTTAAAAACTAGAACGTCCAGTTGGGTTGTTCAGGTCTCTATTTGCCATCTGAGCGACTGACAGGAGTGTATTAAAAAGGGCGGTGGAGCTGTGTCAAAATCTGACGTGTCACATCTACTTTTACCTTCTCTTAACAATGGTTTTTTGATAAATTCATGAACTGCATATGTCTTGTAGTTGCTATTCACTTTTCACACACCAATCTTTTCACATCTCACACATAAACCCTTTGCCACCGTCTGGTAGAAATCCAATAAGCAACTTAATTGCCAAAAATATGATTTTTTTTCTGATTTTGTTCTCTCCACAGCCTGCTCTTTCATACCACACAAGTGCAATCCTAGGAGTGTGTGTAGATACAATAACCATGTCATACAGATTGCTCACACCTCAGGTGGCTAATATGAGCAGTTTTATAGACAGTGTAGCGTTTGGAGGGAGAAAGATTGCCAGCCTTTCCTCAACATTTCCCTTGCCTGTGGAAGAGACTGTTCCTTTAGCATCACTTCTGGGTTCTAGACTTCATAGAAGCGGACAGGAGCTCTTGCAATTCCTGACTCCTGGTGTTTCAAATTCCTCCTCTTTGATATCCCAGTCTGCAGTCATAAGAGGCATTCCTTCATCTCTTACCCATAACCCTCAGCGGAACGTCCAAACCCAGAATCCCTCGCAGCACGAGAACCCTTTTGAAGTCTGCTCAGCCACCAATGAAATGGTTCAAACGTTCTTGCAGAATTTACATCCCCAAACCTCCCCCTTGTGTTGGAATGTGAATCAAGCTTGCATGGTTAAGCCGCCATTTCCAAATATTTTCGCTTCAAGGGTAACTAGTGATGGATTTGTCGTAGAAGGATATGCAAGACCGGAGGGTAGAAGAGTGAATCAAACAAGTGTGCTTAGTCGCGTCGAGTCAAATTCCGGCATTGCGGGCATGTTGTTGTCATTGATTCAGTGGGCAAAAAAAGTTAATATCAACAAACATCATCTGTTTTTGGAGTCTGGAACTGAAGCAGAAACATTTAAAGAAATGCTTGAGGATTTGACATGCTTGTCGGAACGTTACGAGAACCCATGACAAGGCGTTAAATATTTTGCTTCATGGAAGGGCTAAAGCTCGAAACAACAGCCAAGTCTAAACGGCATTTAGTTCATCTTCACAAGTCACAAGTTCACAACAAATTAAAAATTCTAACTTGCTTGTCAGCGCAACGGAATGGCTTCTTCAGAAACTAACTCCATGTATATATTGTATATTTTACTAATTTTGATGAAATCGCTTACCGGGTAGTTACCGGTAATAGGAAACGAAGACGTTCTTTTGGCCAATCACAATGCGTAAAGAAGTCACTCTTCCCAGCTGAAAAGAGTAACACATACTCTACAATTGAATGTAACTAAATCATTCAACAAATAGAAAATAAAAGCAATTGCAAAGAATAACAAAAGCCCGTAATATCGCTAGAGGTATTGATAAATTGAAAAGGATCTCACATGATTTTTTAAAGGCAGCCTATGAACTAGTCTGAGACGCAGACACTACATAGCGCTTGTGTTAAACAACGCAACTTAACTATGAACGTGACAGACTTACACTTTCTTTCACGCTGCCGCATTCGTAGGATAACGTTAACGGTAAAAAACGAATGCCACGGCCTTACTTCAGCCAGTTATCCGAAAGGATTTCTTCGACCTGCTGAAACGGTTCCTCGAAAGACGCGATGATAAGTTCCTAGCTAAAAATGCTTTGGACTAGGATAACAAGGTTAGGGGAGTTGGAAGAATTCGAGACAGTTATGCAAGTCGAGGGTTAGCATAACTGCTGGACATCTAAACACAACCAAAAGAACGCACTTTCCACTTTCCTTACCCAAGTTCTCACAAAGACAGCGGTAAGCACGATAAAGAGAAAAATCCAATTCCACAGAAAACCGAGAAATATTTTCAACGAGTGCGTACAAGTCAGGAAATTTCTCGTCCGTGCGAAGGTGAAAGTTTTAAATAATGGGAACCGAAAAAATTGACGTTACAATGGACAGCTCACACGACACACCTTCAATGTAAGAGCGCGAGAGAAGGTGCGCGCGCGCAAATGCACGAGCTCCAAAAGGAGTGAACAAAAGTTTTCTTTTAAATTACCAAAAGCAAACCAAGTATAGTACAGCCGAAGTTCCGTTTGACTTGGAGACAGGCCAGGGAGTACGACCGGTACCATTCACGAAGGGACTCGTTTTCCGCACAGCGGTCGCCTAATCAAACCCAGCAAAAAGAGAAAAGGTTGCGGCTTTGCCATCTTTTCCAACCGTCCATGTCTCGAGTCACAAACCACAATCTGAGGGTTAAGGAAACATTTCACACCCCCTAAAATATGGAAGGGATTACCCTCCGCGCAGTGGTTTGGACGCCTCTGATCTGTTTCCACAGCTTAAATATACGTCTTCCTTGTTCAAATTCGTGTAAGGACAATCTTTCAAGGATTGGAAAGACATCAACGTAACAGAAAGCGGCCCATAGCTCACCCAGGAAAACGTGAACAAGCATTGATTGGGCATGTTAAGTACTACAGAGCCCGCCACTTTTGGTTTTTAACTTTCATGTTTCTGATCTGCTGACCAGGATCACGATTAGCTAAGTAACATTCTTAGGCCCCGTCCTACCCCGGAGAAAGTTGAAAACGCAGCTTTCTTTCTACGTTAGGCCTACCGTCCACACTAATCCGTCACGAAAACGGAACTTTTCGAAACACTCTTCAAACCGGAGGAATTTGAAAACGCCGGGTTTTCGTTTTCATGTGGACGGAAAACATGTCGAAAAAGGAGCTTTTCAAAAAACGATGACATCTCGATAATAATTTGATTTCCCTGACCGAGTAAGTTCTCAAACACAAATCAAATAACCACTGATTGTTGGGTATTAAAATTTCTCCGGCGTAGTGTGGACGGGGCATTACTTAGTATCCTCTGCAGCCGTTTTTTGGGATGTCACGCAACGCCCCCTGCCAAAGAAACCGTTTCTTTGGGGAGAGCGTTGCGTGACATCCCAAAAAACGGCTGCGGAGGAGACTAGGCATTACTGAACATGTATCGGGTCAAACAATTAGATTACGCAGGGATGACTTTATTGAATTCCGCGTTTTAACACTTGAATGAATCGCACTTTACTCTTTCTCAAAAAATAAAAAGAAAACATTCAAAAAGACATGGAAAATAAAATGCTTGAAATAGCGTTCAAAAGTACCGCACTTTTCACTTGCCGCAGATGGCTATATAGCACTGTTACAGAGAAATGATCTGAGTTCCACTAAGAAAATTATAGGATTTCCTGGAAAATAATCCTCTTGCAACTGTTCGTTTGATAACAGGCGCTGTGCAACTTAAATTCAAGTTTTACTAGCCTTTTTTCTGCAATCGCCACCACGCAACTCTGAAATGAAACACTTATCAAGTCTTATGAAACAGTGTCTAATGTAAGAACACGTACCCAGATCTCACTCTGTTTGACACTGAAAAAAAAAGCGGAGAGAGGTCTGGGTTCCAGATTACGGAGCTTCCTGATCTTTACCGTGATACCAGACGTTTTCTTTAATTTCGTTTTTCTTCAAAACTCAAAAGACGCGCCGCTTTTTGGCTATTACGCGTGAAAGAAAGACGAAAGAAGATCTCCAGGACCGAGGTAGATCATCTTACACCGTACTATAGTTAATACGCTATACAAAGGATGGCTTCCCTATCTCAAGCAGCACACTTGTGTTGGTACACGAGCGGGGTAAGGCAGTGTGTATCTCTCCAAGGTGTTCTGAGTCGTTGCGGCTTTGAATGTTTTAGGTTTATGTAAATAATCCGATCAATCGTCGTCTTGTTCTGCTGGCGCCTCTGGAGATTTGGCGTGTCTTTGCATGGACTGTAAAGCTTTTTCTCTTAGTTTTCTCTCCAGAGTTTCCGTGTCATCTTCGTCCGCACTTTCCGAATGCTAGAGAGAAAAGGGAAAAAATAGATTAAGCCCAAATAGAAGAGTTCAGCGATCAAAACTTTGACAACTAAGAGCTCCTCGAACCCATCATAAACTATTCTGTTAGTAGGTTGGGCAAACTGAATGAGAATCGTAGAGAAGAGGAATGAATTAGTTACATCAACGCTGCCACGTTTTCTAATGACTATCTCGTTGGTACATTNCTTGCTAGTGAGGCATGGCCACGTATGAGACAAGCCAGGGAGTTTCCTCTTCTCACTTATAAGGTAATGAAATGTTTTCAACCATATCTACATCATGTAAGCTGCTAACTGTCACACTGACAGAGACGACACTCTTAAAAAAATCTGAATCTTTTACTCACTTTTATTATTATAAAGACAAATTTTTATTGCATTGCACAACCTTTAGCACAGGCAATTTTGCAAGTATCTTGGTAGCCTGTTCCAGGATCTCAGTCAATGGGTGCAATTGAACAAGCAAGCAGGCAACAAGCAGGGTTTGGGAGAGAAAAGGAGGGGCCCTCACTGAGGTTGCTTGGTGAGGCTCCTCACCTTTTCTCTCAAAGGAGAGGGCCCTCTTCTTTTCTCTCTCAGGCAATGCTCACCACTTGCCTGCCTTTTTGATCGTCCCCACTGCCAAGAGTCTGGTATGCTGTGATTCAATCAGAGTCTGTGGGCAATTGGTTTTGTATTCACCTTCTACTTGGTCTGGAAGTGAGACATTGAATTTACGCCGCATATTAATTTAAAAACTAGAACGTCCAGTTGGGTTGTTCAGGTCTCTATTTGCCATCTGAGCGACTGACAGGAGTGTATTAAAAAGGGCGGTGGAGCTGTGTCAAAATCTGACGTGTCACATCTACTTTTACCTTCTCTTAACAATGGTTTTTTGATAAATTCATGAACTGCATATGTCTTGTAGTTGCTATTCACTTTTCACACACCAATCTTTTCACATCTCACACATAAACCCTTTGCCACCGTCTGGTAGAAATCCAATAAGCAACTTAATTGCCAAAAATATGATTTTTTTTCTGATTTTGTTCTCTCCACAGCCTGCTCTTTCATACCACACAAGTGCAATCCTAGGAGTGTGTGTAGATACAATAACCATGTCATACAGATTGCTCACACCTCAGGTGGCTAATATGAGCAGTTTTATAGACAGTGTAGCGTTTGGAGGGAGAAAGATTGCCAGCCTTTCCTCAACATTTCCCTTGCCTGTGGAAGAGACTGTTCCTTTAGCATCACTTCTGGGTTCTAGACTTCATAGAAGCGGACAGGAGCTCTTGCAATTCCTGACTCCTGGTGTTTCAAATTCCTCCTCTTTGATATCCCAGTCTGCAGTCATAAGAGGCATTCCTTCATCTCTTACCCATAACCCTCAGCGGAACGTCCAAACCCAGAATCCCTCGCAGCACGAGAACCCTTTTGAAGTCTGCTCAGCCACCAATGAAATGGTTCAAACGTTCTTGCAGAATTTACATCCCCAAACCTCCCCCTTGTGTTGGAATGTGAATCAAGCTTGCATGGTTAAGCCGCCATTTCCAAATATTTTCGCTTCAAGGGTAACTAGTGATGGATTTGTCGTAGAAGGATATGCAAGACCGGAGGGTAGAAGAGTGAATCAAACAAGTGTGCTTAGTCGCGTCGAGTCAAATTCCGGCATTGCGGGCATGTTGTTGTCATTGATTCAGTGGGCAAAAAAAGTTAATATCAACAAACATCATCTGTTTTTGGAGTCTGGAACTGAAGCAGAAACATTTAAAGAAATGCTTGAGGATTTGACATGCTTGTCGGAACGTTACGAGAACCCATGACAAGGCGTTAAATATTTTGCTTCATGGAAGGGCTAAAGCTCGAAACAACAGCCAAGTCTAAACGGCATTTAGTTCATCTTCACAAGTCACAAGTTCACAACAAATTAAAAATTCTAACTTGCTTGTCAGCGCAACGGAATGGCTTCTTCAGAAACTAACTCCATGTATATATTGTATATTTTACTAATTTTGATGAAATCGCTTACCGGGTAGTTACCGGTAATAGGAAACGAAGACGTTCTTTTGGCCAATCACAATGCGTAAAGAAGTCACTCTTCCCAGCTGAAAAGAGTAACACATACTCTACAATTGAATGTAACTAAATCATTCAACAAATAGAAAATAAAAGCAATTGCAAAGAATAACAAAAGCCCGTAATATCGCTAGAGGTATTGATAAATTGAAAAGGATCTCACATGATTTTTTAAAGGCAGCCTATGAACTAGTCTGAGACGCAGACACTACATAGCGCTTGTGTTAAACAACGCAACTTAACTATGAACGTGACAGACTTACACTTTCTTTCACGCTGCCGCATTCGTAGGATAACGTTAACGGTAAAAAACGAATGCCACGGCCTTACTTCAGCCAGTTATCCGAGAGGATTTCTTCGACCTGCTGAAACGGTTCCTCGAAAGACGCGATGATAAGTTCCTAGCTAAAAATGCTTTGGACTAGGATAACAAGGTTAGGGGAGTTGGAAGAATTCGAGACAGTTATGCAAGTCGAGGGTTAGCATAACTGCTGGACATCTAAACACAACCAAAAGAACGCACTTTCCACTTTCCTTACCCAAGTTCTCACAAAGACAGCGGTAAGCACGATAAAGAGAAAAATCCAATTCCACAGAAAACCGAGAAATATTTTCAACGAGTGCGTACAAGTCAGGAAATTTCTCGTCCGTGCGAAGGTGAAAGTTTTAAATAATGGGAACCGAAAAAATTGACGTTACAATGGACAGCTCACACGACACACCTTCAATGTAAGAGCGCGAGAGAAGGTGCGCGCGCGCAAATGCACGAGCTCCAAAAGGAGTGAACAAAAGTTTTCTTTTAAATTACCAAAAGCAAACCAAGTATAGTACAGCCGAAGTTCCGTTTGACTTGGAGACAGGCCAGGGAGTACGACCGGTACCATTCACGAAGGGACTCGTTTTCCGCACAGCGGTCGCCTAATCAAACCCAGCAAAAAGAGAAAAGGTTGCGGCTTTGCCATCTTTTCCAACCGTCCATGTCTCGAGTCACAAACCACAATCTGAGGGTTAAGGAAACATTTCACACCCCCTAAAATATGGAAGGGATTACCCTCCGCGCAGTGGTTTGGACGCCTCTGATCTGTTTCCACAGCTTAAATATACGTCTTCCTTGTTCAAATTCGTGTAAGGACAATCTTTCAAGGATTGGAAAGACATCAACGTAACAGAAAGCGGCCCATAGCTCACCCAGGAAAACGTGAACAAGCATTGATTGGGCATGTTAAGTACTACAGAGCCCGCCACTTTTGGTTTTTAACTTTCATGTTTCTGATCTGCTGACCAGGATCACGATTAGCTAAGTAACATTCTTAGGCCCCGTCCTACCCCGGAGAAAGTTGAAAACGCAGCTTTCTTTCTACGTTAGGCCTACCGTCCACACTAATCCGTCACGAAAACGGAACTTTTCGAAACACTCTTCAAACCGGAGGAATTTGAAAACGCCGGGTTTTCGTTTTCATGTGGACGGAAAACATGTCGAAAAAGGAGCTTTTCAAAAAACGATGACATCTCGATAATAATTTGATTTCCCTGACCGAGTAAGTTCTCAAACACAAATCAAATAACCACTGATTGTTGGGTATTAAAATTTCTCCGGCGTAGTGTGGACGGGGCATTACTTAGTATCCTCTGCAGCCGTTTTTTGGGATGTCACGCAACGCCCCCTGCCAAAGAAACCGTTTCTTTGGGGAGAGCGTTGCGTGACATCCCAAAAAACGGCTGCGGAGGAGACTAGGCATTACTGAACATGTATCGGGTCAAACAATTAGATTACGCAGGGATGACTTTATTGAATTCCGCGTTTTAACACTTGAATGAATCGCACTTTACTCTTTCTCAAAAAATAAAAAGAAAACATTCAAAAAGACATGGAAAATAAAATGCTTGAAATAGCGTTCAAAAGTACCGCACTTTTCACTTGCCGCAGATGGCTATATAGCACTGTTACAGAGAAATGATCTGAGTTCCACTAAGAAAATTATAGGATTTCCTGGAAAATAATCCTCTTGCAACTGTTCGTTTGATAACAGGCGCTGTGCAACTTAAATTCAAGTTTTACTAGCCTTTTTTCTGCAATCGCCACCACGCAACTCTGAAATGAAACACTTATCAAGTCTTATGAAACAGTGTCTAATGTAAGAACACGTACCCAGATCTCACTCTGTTTGACACTGAAAAAAAAAGCGGAGAGAGGTCTGGGTTCCAGATTACGGAGCTTCCTGATCTTTACCGTGATACCAGACGTTTTCTTTAATTTCGTTTTTCTTCAAAACTCAAAAGACGCGCCGCTTTTTGGCTATTACGCGTGAAAGAAAGACGAAAGAAGATCTCCAGGACCGAGGTAGATCATCTTACACCGTACTATAGTTAATACGCTATACAAAGGATGGCTTCCCTATCTCAAGCAGCACACTTGTGTTGGTACACGAGCGGGGTAAGGCAGTGTGTATCTCTCCAAGGTGTTCTGAGTCGTTGCGGCTTTGAATGTTTTAGGTTTATGTAAATAATCCGATCAATCGTCGTCTTGTTCTGCTGGCGCCTCTGGAGATTTGGCGTGTCTTTGCATGGACTGTAAAGCTTTTTCTCTTAGTTTTCTCTCCAGAGTTTCCGTGTCATCTTCGTCCGCACTTTCCGAATGCTAGAGAGAAAAGGGAAAAAATAGATTAAGCCCAAATAGAAGAGTTCAGCGATCAAAACTTTGACAACTAAGAGCTCCTCGAACCCATCATAAACTATTCTGTTAGTAGGTTGGGCAAACTGAATGAGAATCGTAGAGAAGAGGAATGAATTAGTTACATCAACGCTGCCACGTTTTCTAATGACTATCTCGTTGGTACATTCCATTCCGCTCGTTCCCGGTTTCCACAACTGATAATCTAGTCAGAACGAGTATACGGGGAAATGAGACTGGTTGTCTCCTTGGTCTTGAACGCCTAGAGCACCCTGGGGCCGAAGTTAACAAACTACATAGTACAACTTGTCTTCAGCAGTAATTTGAAACAACTACTCTTCGCGCGAACACGCAGGCAGGCAGGCAGGCAGGCAGGCACGCACACAATTAAGTCAATAGTTCTTACTCCGGGTGACTTGTCTTTTTCTTTATGTTTCTTGTGTTTTGAACGCTTATGTTTGTGTTTTGAGCCGCCATGTTTCTTGTGTTTCTTATGTTTCTTCTTCTTTTCTCCTTTGGGTTCCTTTTCCTCGGGTTTCTCCTGCTCCTCGGCTGAACTTTCCTCCTGAAGATAATACATATCAAGATAACATGGGTTTCGCTTCCTGTCGTTCAGTGCCTTCTATTTTCTTTTCTTTTCTTAACGTATTGCAATGACTGAAGGTCTGATAATTTCTGTTGGTCTTCAAAACTACTCATCAAATCAAAGTGCCAACAACTGCGTAGACTATTGTATTTTTTAAATGTTATTGTAATTAGTGTAAGTCATGGTCCTGAAAAGCCCCATCGGGGAGGCAACAATAAAGTATGTATGATTACAAGTCGTCGCTCTTTCGGGTAGTCCGTCGTGCGCGACGCGCGCTTCTCGCCCCCAGGATTTCGCACGCCAATTTAATTCTCGCGCATTTTTTTTCACGTCACGCACGACGGACTAACCGTAAAGCCCCGGCCAAACGATCGCAACCGTTCAACGCAACATATCGCAACATTGTTGGCCCAGTACTTGCAGGCCCCGGCCAAACGATCGCAACATTTCGACGCAACATATCGCAACATTGTTGGGCGCAACATGTTGCGTGCGTTTGGC